TAAATTTTAAAAACTAAGATTAGAGTTACTTATAGAGGAAATGTTAATCAATATATAACGATGCAGCTCCGTGTGAAAGCTATATGAAAAAGGGGAGATGTAGCATAGATAATAGTATGTACTTATCGATAAGTATAACTTGTATCAACGCTAAGAGAATTCCGAAATAAAGCGAGTCGTAATTGCAAGCTAGAAGCGTGCACATGCAATATACAACAGAACATTTTTGCTGTAAACCAGTGTATGTAATTTGTCTCTCGCTAAAAATACGCTTGTTGATTTCCCATGCAAAAATTTAGTTAAAAATTGGAAGATCGGCTTATCTCGGAAGCCAGTTCAAAAACGCCCTGTCTAAGAAAATTTTTCAAGAACACCCTACTTCAAAGTTTGATTGAAAACCGCCCTATTTCAGAATTTGGTTGAATAACGCCCTATCTCAGAATTCATTTCAAAAACGCCCTATCTCAAACGAAATTACATTGAAAATAAGCTGATATAGGGCGTTTTTGAATCGGCAGCTGGATAGGGCGTTTTTCAATGAAATTCTGAAGTAGGGCGTTCTTGAAAAGTTTTCTGAGATAGAGCGTTGTCAAAAAATTTTCTGAGATAGTGCGGCCACTTCCACTCAGCCATCGATATATCGTGTATACAAATTTAAAAATCACCGCAATTTAAAATTTCTAGAGTTTTGATAGTTTTTAATTTCTTGAAGTTTCCCCTTTTTAATAACTTGAGTGGAATTCCAAAATTTTCTAAACTTTCAAAACATTGTGAATTTGAGAAATTTTAGTAAATCCCAATAATTCAATTAATTCAATATAATGATGAATACTAGATGTCTAGAAATTTTTTATTTTTAAAAATTTTTGAGAATTGTAGTAATTCTAACAAATTTTTTCTAAGTAAAAGTCTCGAATACACATAATTGATCAAACGAAATTAAAAGCTTTCGAATGTTGAAAACATTTTCATATTTCGTCGTTTTTGAAAATTTAAAAAACTTTCGTATTTCTTGAAGATTCAAAAAAATGTTGGACGTTGATGTTTTCAAAAAATTTTAAATTCTCAAACTTTGTTACATCAATACAAAATTTTGGAGAAGTTCAGAAAAGTTTAACAATTTTGGAATTTTTCAAAAACGTTAATATCGGCCCCTATTATGAGTTGCATTCGATTTTCGACTGTGGTCGAAAGTGCGGAGCGAACGAATTTTCATTTGGTATTATGGCGCTCATTCGATGAAGAATAGCGCTATTGTGAATTTCGCTCGTTTAGGTTGTTCACAATAGTATATTTTTCACCGCTGAGAAGCTTTGTTTACAAATCGAGCAAACTAAATAGTGTGCTTATACATATTTATGTAAATTTGTTCTAATTAAAATGAAGTAAAAAAGAAAGCAAGTTTATAAAAACGTGGTAAAATGAGTACAACGAGTTCTGGTTCAACGATTCGTCAGAGGATGAGAGCTTAGTAAACTGGCCGGGAGTAGCAAATGTTTAAGAGAGTTTAAGTTTATTAGTCTTTCGAATATATTTTGATATAAAATATATTTAAGAAATTTGTCTACAGATTCATTAAAAAGTTTTGACCATCTAAAGAGGCGTTTGTGAGCCAAATCTATTTAAAATATTTTAAAACTATCAACAGCGCTACGATTTTGTTCTCAGAGATCGTGCCAACAGAGTATTGGGATTTTCTTTCACAAGTAAAACCAGCCTTTCGAGCTTGTGTTTAGTATTCACGATGTTAGAACTGCATGAAATTAATAAAAATTTTTTAAAATTAGTGTCTAGCCGCCAAAATGTAAGAAAACATATATAAAATCATACATTTTTCACAATTTTCTAACACTTCGCTACTTCATCGAAAGCAAAATTCTGTTCGACAGAAAATTCGATACTCAACGAAAATTTCGACACGCGTGCATAGCTCATAATACGAATTTCACTTTCGATCTTCGATCTTCGATAGCCAGCGAAGATCGAAAATCGAATGCAGCTCATAATAATGGCCATCTTTTAGAATTCTAAGAATTTTCTATTTTTTACACACGAGTATATGAACACAAGAATTTTTCGACAATTTGTGATGTTTCACATTTTTACATTTTAGGATGGATTTTAGGATAAATAGAACTCCCAAAATTTTGGAAAATATAAAAATTTCTAAAATCTCAATAATTTTGTACATTTCAAAATATTCTCATTTTACCAAAATTTCTGGAATTGCCGGATTTCGAGTTTTTGAAATTTTGGAAATTATAAATTATCCTAAAAATAAGAAATCTCCAGAAATTTAACAATAATATAAAATTTAAAATTTTGAAATTTTCGTTGTTTTCTGAACCTGTGAGAATATTCAAACTTGCTGTGACTTTCAACTGTGTAACATAATAGAAATTCGAAAATATAACAAAAAAACTAAAAATTGAAAATTAAGTACATAATTTCAAAATTTTGAAAATTCAGTGAATTCGAAAAACTGATAGGCCTACTTAAATAACACAATACTTCGAGCTTAGCATACAGCTATAATTTCAAGCTCAAGTGAAATTTGACACACTTTTTCCATGAATTAAAATTTTCAAAAGCATCCATTCATTAGGTTTGTTCCCCAAGCTTCTCGAAGTCACTTCGAGTTACATATACGCGCTCCCCAAGTAAGTTTTCGAGTTTCTTTGATATATCCCTACCTGGGTCCGCCACTGCATGTATATACGAAAACAAAAATTTCCCCCTAAACTTTCCCATCAACAATTCACAATAGAGCAGTTTTTTCACTTAACAACACTACTCTTCATGTCGCGTATGTTTTAACTGACCTGGCTGAACTCGGATAAATAGCCGAGTTTGTGTTGTTGCTTTGCGTGTATTTCGTCATTTAAGCGAGTGTTCTTTTGTAGCTCGGCTGCAAAAGAATGGACCTAATAATATTTTGCGCTTACACCGCAGTGTTTGGCCGAGCTTCTCCAATTTGTTGGGTGCTTCTTGCTGCTGTGAAAAATCTTCTTTCTATATTTTTTCCGGTATTGCTTTGACCAGGGCTCGAACCCAGGTCTTTCGGAGTGGTAGAACGCACCTCTAACCTTTTGGCTACAGCGACTAACAAGACATATCA